CCGACCATTCTAGTTCAAATTCGAGTTATGCCTTTTACTAGCTGTGCGATGATGGGTATCTTTTTATTTTATTTTTTTTTAATGGAGGGGGTGAAACAGAGGTAAATGTGGAGATCCTTCACATTTTTAACAGTCTCATCACATTACAATCCCCAGCCTGCCTAGGTTGGTTCTGGGACTAACCCTAGGCCTACATGTGGACCCAGCTTAGTGAAGTGGTGCCCTATGCTTGTGCAATGACTGGGTCAATGGATAATCTCTTAACTTTCCTTTTTTTTAAAATTTTTTATTTAATAGTGTAACTTTTTAAATAATTATTTATTCTATTTATTCATTCATTTATTTTTTAATTTGACTAGAGAGAGACAGAGGGTGAGAATGAAAGAGGAAGTGAGAAAGCAAGCTACCAGATTCAGGACTCAAACCCTGGTTGGCCATGTAGGAGTGTCCAGAGCTTTAACCACCACGCCACCTGCTGGTCCCCAATAGTGTAACTTTTTTAATAGCATCCATGCATATAGCAAGCTATTTTGTATTTATAAAACAGACAATACAGGATATAACACTTAGGAGACTATGGGGACTGGGGCCAGCAGGTGGCTTGGTGGTTAAGGGCACTGGACTCAAGTCCTGGACCTGGTGGCTTGCTTTCTCACTTTCCCTTTCTCTCTCTCTCTCTCTCTCCCCCTCTCTGGTCAAATCAAAATGAATAAACAAAGTTAAATAAAATAATTCCTTAAAAAAGAGAGAGAGAGAGAGAGAGACTATGGGGACCAGCAGATGACACAATGGTTATGTCACTGGACTCTCATGTGGTAGACTGTGGTTTGAGTCCTGAACCAGTGGCTTAAATCTCACTCTGGGTGCATGTGCATGAGTGTTCAAGATCCAGGGAAGAGAATGGAGGAGAAGGAATTGTGATATGGCCATTCTCCCTGGGGGGGTGGGGGTGGGGGTGGGATATCTCTTACTTTCTGTGTCTCTGATTTCCTCTGTCTCTCCAGTGAGCTCATGCACCCTATAGGAAAAAATCTCTCCAAGAAAAAAAAAGAGAGAGACTATGTAATAAGTAACACAGCATTCACATGTAAATGTTCCATATCTTTATGTGGTTGGTAGTTTTACTGATGTAAAAAGATATATGTATATGATAAGTGCTGATTGAACTGATTTTTTAAAAATTTGTTTACATTTAATCACTTTATAGTTTAAATTTCTTTAAAAACTTTATAGTTTAATTTCTTTTTCCAACACAAATACTATGCATGTCAGTCAAGACAAAAATATTACTATATACATTATCATCAGCAAATAGCTTCTCATTTTTTGTCAGTTAAGCATACTTTTACCAGTTTTTTCCTTCCCCTTTCTTCTCCCTCCCTTTCATACTAAACTTTTTTTCCACATTGTATTGATTCGCAAAAGATCTTAAACTAAAAGAATAGACAAAGCTAGAATCTAGTGACAAGTGCACTATAATTTTCTTCTAAAATATTTTTTTCTTTCCCCATTTCCCTTTACTAAAGAGAGGTATAAACTAACTTATTTGCCAAAAATAAAAAAATAATAATAAAATAAAAAAGCTTCATCTCAATTTGGTCTGTTATTTGTACAAAGTCCCATAAGAATTCAATTTTCAATTTCTGATGCAAGGCAACAAACAGATTGTATTATTGAACTTAAACAAATAACCATTCTGCCACAAAATAAGAATGCTCACAAATATTATTTTCCAATTACAAAGGGGTCAGGAAAGAAGAAAAGTTTATGTTTCAATTTTAAAAATTCTTTTTTTTAACTAATGGCTGAACCTATCTACAACTCAAAAGAAAACAAAAATCCTTCAAACTGGAAGACAAAGCATAGAAGAAAATCAGTAAAGTTTTAGAAAATAGTCATAGAATTTTATTTCACCAGTTCAGTCTCATGTAATCTCTCTTGTGTTGAATTTGCAGTTTTACTGTGGTCTAACCTTTCCGTTAACATTCATCATTATTACTGATATTTCAAAACTTGTCCTTACCATTAAGTTGGCCTTTTTCTTAGTCATTTTTTTTGTTCTCTTATTTGTCTGTCTGTCTTTGGTTTTCCTGGTATAGTACTCCCTTCAGAACTTCTCAAAGAGATGGTCTGGTGTTGGTAAATTCTTTCAGGTTTTGTTTATCTGAGAATGTTTTTTTCTTTTTTTCCCATATGAAGGATAATCTTGCTGGATATGATATTTTTGGTTGAAATCGTTTTTTACTTAACACTTTGAATGTATTTTCTCATTCTTTCCTTGCTTGCATTGTTTCTGATGAGATGTCCAGTGTTAGCCTTATGGGATATCCTTTGAAAGATGGTTTTCTCTTGCCAATTTTAGTATCTTGTCTCTGTCTGTGGTTTTGGTCAATCTGGTTATGATGTGCCTTGGAAAGATCTTGGGTTGATTCTATGCGGGGTTCTTTGTATTTCTTGGGTCTGGATATTTGAATGCCTCTCTATGTTTGGAAAGTTTTCTTCCAGGATTTCATGGAATAGATAATCAATGCCCTGATTAGTTTCTTCACCTTCTGGGATAACGATTATCTGGATGTTTGGATTTCTAATGGTGTCTAGTATTACTTGTATATTATTCTGATTTTGGGGGGGTTATTTTCTCAGTCTTTTTGGTGAAATCTTCTAGGTCAGAGGTTCTGTCTTCTACATCTGAGATCCAATCTTCTGCATGATCTAGTCTCCTTTTAATACTTTCAAGGGAGGTTTTGATTTCCTGTATTACAGCCTTCATCTCTAACGGTTCCATTTGATTCTTTTTTATGGTGTGTATTTCCTCTTTCAGATCGTGGAAGAACTTCCTCACCTCCTCGCACTCATTCTCCTTTCTCCTGCATTTTCTAGAGTTCGTTGTCTCTCTTCTCTTGCATCTCTATTAACTTCGTCACTATGAATATTCTGAATTCTTTATCTGACATTTCAATGAGTTCCATTGTATTGTCTGTGGATGACTAAGGGCTGTTCTTTCCCTTTGGAGAATTGATGTTTTCTTGATTTCCCATATTTCTTTTGCCTTTGCAGTGGTTTCTGGTCATCTGATGGATTATAAGCTACTTCCTACCTTCTTGAAGTTAATTCTGTGTTAGAGGTGGGCAGAAGGAGATGGTCTGCAATTTTTCTGCAGTATTGTTTCCCTGATCCTCACCAAGCAACCTGCCTTTTTGTCAATGGAACTGAATATTACAAAGACTTCACAGTTTCAAGGGAATAGGTGCATCTGGGCTGAGCTGCAGGGTTTCAACTAAGAATTCAGAGGTGTAGGAGATGAGCCATGCTCACTGCAACTCCATATTTCTCCCATCTGCTCACTTCAGACTTTCTTCTCTGATTTTTAGTCATTTGGTGGTATATTAACGTTTGGCTAATTTGTTAGAGATATGTGCTAATGTAAGCTCATAAGCTTCACTTTACTGTGAGGTACTTTTATGCCTATTTCTCTTCCACTACTATGATTTACAATGAGGTATCTACAGAAAGAAATTTCAATTTATATTTATAAAGATGAATTTCTCCCTTTCTGTACCAGTTTAGTGGGGGTTGAGGTTTATTATGACCCTAAAAGTATTCAGATGTTTTGCTACTACTGCACACCTAGACCTGCCTAGACACTCAATGTGTGGAAGATGAAAAGCAAGGTGAGAAAGTCAGCTAAGAGAAAGGAAACAAAGGGAAACCTGAAAAAAAAACAATAGTCAAAACAAAACAATAAAAAGGGAAAAAAAATTTGGGGGGAGGTTTTTGCTACAGGGTGCGTGCACTTGCCAGAAAGACAGAGAGAGACAGAGAGACAGAAAGCGAGAAATCACTCCCCAGGGGGATGGTCACACCGCAATCCCTTCTCCATTCTCCTCTCTGGATCTTGGGCACTCACACACATGCACCTGGTGTGAGTTTAAGCTACCAGGTCCGGGACTCAAATTGCAGTAAACTACATGGGAGTCCAGTGACATAGCCATTATGCCAACTGCTGGTCCCTGAAAAAAAATATTTTTAAGAAAAAGGCAAAAAAATGAGAACCGTTTGGGGCACTAGCATGCCATGTGAAAGGAACAGGGCTAGGCCCACCTCAGATGCACAGAGATTCTGAAATTAGCAAGAGAAAGGAGAGGTCAGAGGCAAGAGATACTACCTACGTATTTTTTAAAAACGTGTGTGTGTGTGTATATACATATATATATATATGTATATACACACACATATGTGTATATATACATATATATATATATGTGTACATATATATATATATACATATATATTTAAAAGTGAAAAATTTCTAGACAAAGGGAGAGGGAGAGACAGAGACAGAAAGATGTCAGTGACCACCTTACCTGGCTTTTTGCTGGGTGTTGGGCTGGAAAGAGGTTTAGGGCAGAGACTTGCCAATAAAAGGGGCATGGCTAGGCACACCTCAGATGCACATGAATTCTGGCTTTTCACTGGGTGTTGGGCTGGAAGGAGAGGTTTAGGGCAGAGCTAATATCTTAACTTTCTGAGCCTTAGTTCCTTGATTTGAAATAATCATTCCCAACCTGTCAGGTTGTTGTACGGAATAGATGTAATGTATGGAAAGTGACTTGTATGGTGCCTGGGACACTCTAAGTATTCAAGAAATTAAAACTTTTCTTTCTAAAGTCTGACTCCTGCATTCTCTAATTCCAGGTTCTCTAAGCAGTGGTTCTCAGAGTGTGGCTCCTGGATCAACAGCAATAATATTATCTGGAAGTTCCTCAGAAATGCAAATACCTCAGCCTACCCCACCCTGATGGAATCAGAAATCTAGGTAGGACCCGGAAATCTAGATTTTTCACCAAGTCTCCAGGTGGTGTTTGTTAACACACAAAGGTTTAAAAAGCACTGCTCCAAGGGACAGTGCTTTCTGAAGCACAAAAATGGAAAATCTCTCCAAAGTTTGGAAAGCTCCTTTTTATTCCATCATAAAATAAAGTTATTTTTAAATGCTATTAACATTGAAAAAAATTTTTCCCAACACAACAAAAAGATTACAAATTAAAATAGTGCTGAAATGTTTATCCCAGTGCTTTTTTCTTTCTTCCTTTAATCGGCCTTGTAAACGTGCAGTAGCTTGCGCTGTGGGATAGATATGTCAGCATGACCTGGCTGTCACACATCCCTAGCCAAAAAGCACTGATAAATTGGCTCTGCATTAGTTTGACCAACCATAAACTACACAATCAAGTAGATTTTCTAGGTGAGAGGGTAAGATAGTTGAGAAAGAATTCCATAAATTTATTTTTCTTTAAGAATTATTTATTTTATTACTATTATTTTTCATTTGCTGTAGATTACATGTGCTCACCAGAGACAGATAGAAAGAGAGAGAAAATGAAAAAGCAAGCCTTCAAGTCTGGGACTCAAAATAGTCAGCCACATGGGAGTCCAGCACCTTCACCGCCACACTACCTACTGACCTCAGAATTTCATAAATTTCAGCAACATATTTACTGAGGCATAACAACACACCGGGATAAATAAAAAAGAATTCTCACTGGAGTACAGCTTAGTTTTTTCCCCTCTATTCTAACATGTTCCAGAACATAGTGGAATGTTTATAATATACATAGACAAAGGACAGGAAAAAGTATTTTGATGCAGTTCTAAACTCATTTTATAAACAAAGATCTTTTAAAATACAAAAATCTAAGATAAGTTAGTCAAATAATCCATCTTTTTTTAAAATCTGAAATACTTCTTAAAACTTGCAGGAATTAATATGAAGAACAACCTTCCCTTTTCCGGGTTCTGAAAATATGAATATCTTAAAAATATTTACTTAAATACTTAAGCAGAAAGTTTCATCTATGGAAAGCAATAACATGCAAATTCTATATGCACATTTGTTTTTGGAAGCAAAGTCCTTTGTTATGCTTCCAACTATGGTTTTTATAAAGCAATTCAAAATCTATTTACGTAGCAAGCACCTCCTAGCTTCCGTATGCAGAGGGGAACTTTCAGAAAAATCTCTCCAATCACATTTTGTATGCTGTGATGATGCTTAAATCTAGATTTTTCACCAAGTCTCCAGGTGGTGTTTGTTAACACACAAAGGTTTAAAAAGCACTGCTCCAAGGGACAGTGCTTTCTGAAGCACAAAAATGGAAAATCTCTCCAAAGTTTGGAAAGCTCCTTTTTATTCCATCATAAAATAAAGTTATTTTTAAATGCTATTAACATTGAAAAAAATTTTTCCCAACACAACAAAAAGATTACAAATTAAAATAGTGCTGAAATGTTTATCCCAGTGCTTTTTTCTTTCTTCCTTTAATCGGCCTTGTAAACGTGCAGTAGCTTGCGCTGTGGGATAGATATGTCAGCATGACCTGGCTGTCACACATCCCTAGCCAAAAAGCACTGATAAATTGGCTCTGCATTAGTTTGACCAACCATAAACTACACAATCAAGTAGATTTTCTAGGTGAGAGGGTAAGATAGTTGAGAAAGAATTCCATAAATTTATTTTTCTTTAAGAATTATTTATTTTATTACTATTATTTTTCATTTGCTGTAGATTACATGTGCTCACCAGAGACAGATAGAAAGAGAGAGAAAATGAAAAAGCAAGCCTTCAAGTCTGGGACTCAAAATAGTCAGCCACATGGGAGTCCAGCACCTTCACCGCCACACTACCTACTGACCTCAGAATTTCATAAATTTCAGCAACATATTTACTGAGGCATAACAACACACCGGGATAAATAAAAAAGAATTCTCACTGGAGTACAGCTTAGTTTTTTCCCCTCTATTCTAACATGTTCCAGAACATAGTGGAATGTTTATAATATACATAGACAAAGGACAGGAAAAAGTATCTTGATGCAGTTCTAAACTCATTTTATAAACAAAGATCTTTTAAAATACAAAAATCTAAGATAAGTTAGTCAAATAATCCATCTTTTTTTAAAATCTGAAATACTTCTTAAAACTTGCAGGAATTAATATGAAGAACAACCTTCCCTTTTCCGGGTTCTGAAAATATGAATATCTTAAAAATATTTACTTAAATACTTAAGCAGAAAGTTTCATCTATGGAAAGCAATAACATGCAAATTCTATATGCACATTTGTTTTTGGAAGCAAAGTCCTTTGTTATGCTTCCAACTATGGTTTTTATAAAGCAATTCAAAATCTATTTACGTAGCAAGCACCTCCTAGCTTCCGTATGCAGAGGGGAACTTTCAGAAAAATCTCTCCAATCACATTTTGTATGCTGTGATGATGCTTAGGGAAAGAATGTAAATTAAGTTAAAAAAAAAGTTTCAGGAAAAAAATCCTAAAATTGTTTTTCTTGAAATTAAAAAAAAAGCATTAAAAATACCTATTCAATGCCTGCAGTAAGATATATAGCCCCAGCTAGGTACTACTTTATAGGATATTCATTCTATTCACTGAGGCAGGGTTATGCCTAAAGTTGGACTTGTGTTCATGGAAATGTATATATAAGCTGTGCTTGCTATGAAAATATTTAGATTAATTAAGATCTTTAGTGACTCAATAAAATATGGGGGGGAGTATAGAAAGCAAACATAGATACCAGAGACAGTGTAGGAGGAGGGTGGGAGATGGCATAGGGTAAGAGATAGGGAATCAAGGATGGGGGGAAGAAAAGCAAAACATACAGGAAACAAGAAATGGAAAATTCTTTGTTGACGATAACATATATGATGATGTGCTTGATTGAGCCAATATACAGTGTACTCTGGATGGAAAAAAATCTCACTTTGTATGCTGTAATGATGTACAGTGAATGAATGTAAATAAATAAATTTAATTTTAAAAATCACACAAAAAATAAAATGGAATATATGCTAATGCTCAGTATTTTAATTGTTTTCAAGTAAAGCAGATTAGCAATAAAAAAAAGGAAAGAAAATCTCTCCAAGATGATCCAAGTAAAAGGGAAAGAAAGACCACACACAAAATATATATGGTAAATAGAAAAGGTCAAATATACTGTGGTTTATACTGTTCTTCCTAACTGAACATAGCTCAATGCTAAGTTATTTTGTGGGAAAGAAGAAAAATATGGTGGAGAGAGGTCTTTATAAAAGGATGATAACAAGTAAGGCTTCCTGGAGATGACACACACAACAGATGCCAAAGACCGGTAAATTTTTAATGCTGTGACTTGTCTACTTGTCACTGATCTTAAAGGATATTTTGCTTATCAGGTTTTGCTCTTGATAACCTCTCTACCTGAAACATCCCTCCCACAATTGCACCTATTCGAATCCTGCTGATACTGGAATGGTTAGGGTTGTGTGTCCAGGGAGACCAGAAACCAGATCTATGCCACTTCCCTTTGACAAAGAAGAAAGAAATTTATTTTAGTGAGGTCAACACTTGGAGAGGGCAGACCAAGGTCTAGAACAATCTCCACTGTACTAGATAAGATACAGAACTTACACAGGGAAATGAGTAAGTGAGAGTATACATCTAGAAGCAAAGAGCAAGTTATTCATTGTCTTGGGGCAGAATCATGAGGAAGCTTGATCATTATCAAGAGATCTGATAGCACTTCAGGGAAGCAATCACTGCTTGAGGGGCAGTTTTCATTCCAGGCATACAAGAAGATTGACAGGTTTCAATTCTCTGCAAGGGGCTTAAATATAAGTAATAGTTAACAAGGCAGCAGAAGCAAAATGGAGTCAGTCGAGACAAGTCTCAGATCCTTAGAAACAAGGAAGATCTACATGTGGCTTTGCAATGCTTGAGCTGATAAAATCATTTCAGTCAGTCACACGGGAGGAGGCTGGTAGCATCTTTTCCCTTCCTATTTCCATAGCTTGGGCTATGTAAAGCTCAGCAAAGTTATTGTTAACTCTCATTAGTTAAGCATTAGTCTCCTTCTATTGTGAAGTAGGTAAAAGGTTAGGTTCTGTAAGATTCATTGCAAGAAAAGTCAAAGAAATTGAAGATGGATGTTCCTAATGATGAACCTATTAAGATGGATTTCAAGACTAATTATAATATGGAGTTACTTTGGTTCTCTTATGGCTCAGTTACACCACCCACCTTTCAAGACTCACCTTAAGTTCCATCTTCTTTCCTTCCTTCAATAAGGATTAATAATAAAATCCTTAATAAGAAGGGCTGGGGACCAGCAGTTAGCGTAATGGCTATGTCGCTGAACTCCCATTGTAGTTGACCACAGCTCGAGTCCCGGACCCTGTGGCTTAAACTCACGCTCGGCACATGTGCGTGCAGGCCCAAGATCCCGAGAGGAGAATGGAGGATAAGGGATTGCGGCATGGCCATCTCCCCAAGGGGTGATTTCTCGCTTTCTGTCTGTCTGTCTGTCTGTCTCTTTTTTGCAAGTGCACACGCCCTATAGCAAAATCCTCTCCAAAAAAATAAAAAACAAAAAGGGCTGGATTTTATGCTTCTAGTTTGGGGGGGACAATAAGAAATAGAGACTTTGAGAGTCTGCATCCCACTTGCAGAGAGAAAACCCCAAGAGATGGAGTCGATCATGGTAGCTTCCAAAGTAGAGACACAAGCATTGATGTAACATGTTACAACTCATCTTTCTTTTACACCAATCCTGGGAAACAAACAGGATTACCCTTACTCCCACCCTTATTCCACCCCAGTTCCCTCATAGCATCAGCAAATTACCAGTGGAATAGAGTTATTCTGAATAGTAACTGAGTTTTAGTATGTGAAGTTCTGATACAAATAAACATTCAATACCTGTTAGTTACTATTATTTAATTACTACTAGGGAAGTAAGGATCAATCAAAGGGTTAAATAACTTGCCCAGCATCCCA